GCAAACATTTTGTCCGCAGACCTTGGACATTCCAACAAGACTCAGCACCATCGCATTCAGCACACGCAACCCAAGAATGGTTACAAAATTAGGTTCCTCGCTTTATTTCCAGCGCACAATGGCCGCCAAAATCTCCGGATACAAATTCGTTGGATTTTTGTATTTTGGAAAGCAATGTTGGAACTAAAAAATACCAAAGTGTCGATCACCTCAAGCGCTTCGCCGGCAATGGGACAAAATACCGCAGAGCCACATTCGGGCGGCGTATGTGTGGTTTCATTGGCCGTTTGAAGGCAATAATTCATGCCAAAGGTGACCAATTCGAACAAATCTAAACTTATTCTAAAATTTGTTGCTATTTCCGACATATTTTGCTTTCACTCAATAAAATTTAAAAAAAAAATATGTAAAAATTATAGCGTTTGACTTTGTGGCAGTTTTTTATCTCAGCCTGTATATTTTTTCTGTTCACATATTTTTTAGCTATGTGACCATTTGCGAGGAAAATAATTCATATTTCAATGAATTATCATAAGAGAATACAATTTTATGTTATTTATTATTGTTAAATATAATATGTAAAAATATAAACAACGCCATTGCGGACACATTTGCGACTTTGGAGTGTACCAATGTAAAAACCCAGTGATGCCTTCCGTTAGTATGTAGATTCCTCATCGAGTGTAAAAGAGGATCTTTTTTTGTATAGTAAAATTTATTGAAAAAATCCAGATTAAGATCTGCCTCTTATGTGGATTAAAGGTAAGAATACATAAATCGCCTTTTTGACTTGCTTAAGTCATCGGCTGGCTGCTTCGTAGAGGAACAAAGGAGTTTTAGTTTGGGATAGTTCGATTCTTGCCCTACACTCCTTTATTCGTTTTCGAAGAAGCCAGCAGTTGACTTAAGCGAGTCAACAAAGCGTTTCATGTATTTTCACCTTAATTCGTATAACATTTTGAGTTTTAACCCGAAATCGGGAGGAAGAAGAACATTTTGTTTATTAGAAGGGATGTTTTGGTAGCATGCAAAACTGAATGAAAAGTTATTAAAATTTTAGACGATGATCAAAAAGATAATATGTAAAAATGTATAATTAAAGACCGAAAAAGTCCAAAATATGACAAAGGTGTAAGTGCAAAAAGATCTTTTTAGAATGGCTTAAGTCATCGGCGGACTTCTTTGTAAAAGCATTTTGCGTTTTTATACCTACTCACTCTACACTCCTTTATTCTTTTACAAAGAAGTCAGCCAATGACTTAAGGCTGGAAATACATAAAGCGCATATTTGGCTGGCTTAAGTCATCGGCTGACTTCTTCGTAGATGATTAAAGGAGTTTTAGGTTGATTTAGTTCGATTTTGGCCCTAGGCTCCTTTGTTCATTTCCGAAGAAGCCAGCCGATGACTTAAGCCAGCCAAATAAGCGCTTTATGTATTCCCAGCTTAAGGGTGGAACTCATAAAGCGCATATTTGGCTGGCTTAAGTCATCGGCTGGCTTTTTCGTAGATGAACAAAGGAGTTATAGGTTGATTTAGTTCGATTTTGACCCTAGTCTCCTTTGTTCATTTCCGAAGAAGCCAGCCGATGACTTAAGCCAACCAGATAAGCGCTTTATGTATTCCCACCTTAAGTCAACCAAAAAAGCTTTTTATGTATTCTCACCTTATGGCTTCGTCAGACGATATGTTTTTTACATATGTAATGCTAATTTTTGCAGACATCGTTTGATACATGGACGACATTTTATTGGTGGAATACATAAGTACATATGTACATTTTCGATCACAGCGAGCCCTATTTTCATCAAGAAAATATTAGTTAATCAAAAGTTTTGCTTGTTTTTTGTGTGAAAATATATAGAATTGAATTTGAGGAAAAAAAATCATTTATTTAAATTTAATTAAATCCCTCTGAATGACTATTTCTTCAAAACTTGGCAACCCCTTTCGAATACATATAAAAACTCTCACTCTCATTTCTGCAAATGAAGTTTTTTTTTCTTCTCCTTTTTCCATTATATTGATTTGCCGCGATATATACAACAGAGAGACTTTTTCATTTTGTTTTGTATACAACAATGTATCTTTGCGATACATTGGGGAGGGAGAATGTATGTACATCTGTAGATAAATGTAAAAGGCGTCGAAGTTGAACAGGTATTAGGTGAATGGGGGCCTTGAAAGAAATTGACCGGTGAAAACTAAAGGTATTGAGTACTCAGTATCAGGACGCAGTTTCTTAAAAGTCCTATTGAAGCATGAAAGAACATTAAAAATAGTGCAATAAGTGGTATGTATAAATGTCTGTAATACTATTGTTAAATATTTTCATATATTCTGTAGACTGACTGGGGGACAAAAATACATGCTTAATAGCGCCACTATTCATTGCCAATCTGTTGTTGAAGTTTCGCAATTTACTTTGCATTGCGTGCAGACAGTAAACAGTAATTGTTGTTTTTCTTGTTATTGTTATTTCGCCTGGGTATGGGTGCGAAAAGGGTAGATAACGCCATATTGTTAGGTAGGTGTACGGATGGGAGTATGACTTTATTGATGTTGACAAACTGTTTTATTTTCTGTTTTATTCTCGCTCGCGCTCTTTTCCAGTACTTGATAGATACATAAACAGATGCATTGGTGTGTATGTAAACGAGAAGCTTTTGGCAAACATATGGAAATGTATTTGACGCTAGTGTAAAGAAATTGCTGAACGCAATAAAGTTTGGGCAATAAGGCGACAATTCAATTGGGGCCTTAATTTGCTTTACTTTGTTACATGGCAGAAGAATACAGGTAGATGCATCAACGCTTGGGAGAGTTAAATTTCAAATGTTTTTTTTTAAATTTAAGTAGATTTTTATATGTTTTCTTATACGACGTCATTCGGAGGTTATTATAATTCGGGGTTTTCAACAATTTTTACAAATTTAAATAATTTTTCATTCAACATTTTCAATTCCAAAATTGGTTTGACAATTCATTGTCTCAGCAGCTGTGTCGATGCGTCTACCTATATTCTTCTACCATGCTTTGTTAGTTGTTTAATGCCATGTTCATATTGGCTTTTGAACTATTTAATTGTTTCATTTAAATAATTAACTTGATGCGTGGTAGAATTTCAAAGGTAATGTCTATGGCAGAAGAATACAGGTAGATGCATCAAAGCTTGGGAACATTGTGACAAAAAAAATATTAGCCAAAAATAAGTACACTTTTAGATTATTATGACATGTATTTTAGGTTATTATGACATGTATTTTTTTGCAAAAGATTTCACGAATTTCAATAATTTTCCATTGAAAATTTTCAATCCAAAATTGGTTTGACAATTCACTGTCCCCGCAGCTGTGTCGATGCGACAATCTTTACTCTTCTACCACGAATTCAAATTATGAACATGACGCTTGGTAGAATTTCGAAGGTAAAGACATGCAATCATATGTTTACAATTTTTTCAAAATTAGTCATTTGAAAACGTCTAATTGTCAAAACGTATATTTATAAATCCATTGTATGGATTAAAATTTCCCACGGTAAATTATTTGAAATGAGTTTACCTTTTTAATTGTAATAGAACAAAGAAGCGTGGGGCGAACATGCATAAATTATGTTCCAAAATCGAACTAAGTCAACCTAAAAATCCTTTGTTCTTTTACGAGGAAGCCAGCTGATGACTTAAAGGTTAGAATACATAATATGCTTTTTTGACTGGCCTAAGGCTGGAAATACATAAAGCGCATATTTGGCTGGCTTAAGTCATCGGCTGGCTTCTTCGGAAATGAACAAAGGAGCCTAGGGCCAAAATCGAACTAGGTCAACCTAAAACTCCTTTGTTCATTTACGAAGAAGCCAGCCGATGACTAAAGCCATTCAAAAAAGCGTTTTATGTATTTCCAGCCTAAGTCATCGACTGGCTTCTTCGAAAAAAAGTTCCAAAATAGAACTAAATCAACCTAAAACTCCTTTGCTCTTCTACGAAGGAGCCAGCCGATGGCCTAAGCCAGCGAATTGTTTCAAATATGTTATTCGAAGTTCATACAGGATACTACCTCCTATGAAAGAAAATTCTTCATACAGGTCCCCCATCTTCGTAAAGATCCCATGTAAAGATACCTGCCAATATTCGCTATTTTAAGGATTTTAGCTTCATTTTTAAATGAATTAATTAATTTAATTATCTCAATTTTGTTATTTGGAGTTCGTAATAGGCGCCATCTTCTGTGGCAGATAGTTGGTTATATTGAAGTTTTTGTATAGACCCATATAACTTTACCTCCAGATATTCGGTATTTTATTGATTTGTGTCACACTTTTCACCGGGACTTCTTCAAATTTGGTATTTGGGGTTTGTAATGGGTACTACCTCCTATGACACGTCTTAATATAGGCCCCATACTATACCTCGCAAATATTCGGCATTCTGATGATTATAGCTACGTTTTTTAACAGAATTGTCTTAAGGTGAAGGTACATAAAAGGCTTTTTTGACAGGCTTAAGTCATCGGCTGGCTTTTTCCTAGGGGAACAAAGGAAATTAAGGTTGGCTTAATACGATTTCGGTCTAAGGCTCCTTTGTTCTTTTCCGAAGAAGCCATCCGATGACCAGTCAGATAAGCGTTTTATTTATTCTCACCTTTAAATATGGTGTCTCAAGTTCGTGATTCTCACCGCCCTCTCTAAATTTTTAAAATGATATCGAAATTATTATTTTCTTCTAATGCCATGTTTACGTTAGAACTTTTTGTAGGGTTAACCTACTTTGAGAGGATTTATTTGAAGTAAAAGTAATGGATATGACAATTTAAATCCAAATCCAGTGGGTTAACCCTTGATCCTTTTACTTGTTTTATAAATATTTCGATTTTATGTTTTTTTGGACATATTAATAAAAATAATCCAATACTAAAAAGACGTTATTCATTGCATATTTTTGGGCTTGTATGAAAATGAAATAACCATACAAAATCGATAACTTTCAAATCGATAATCGATTAGGAGAAGCTGTCTTTGCATTTTTGCCAAAAGTCGACTTACTCATCCCTAGTTAATGACAGAAAATTTTTGCTGGTCATTCAATTTGCAAGGTATATTTCCTTTCAGGGGAAAACGTATCAATTTTATAAATTATTTAATTGTTTAAAAAGCTATTTAACAATAGTTTATTTGTAGAAGGAGAAAGTATTAAAAATGTTTGGCCGTCAAAGTCTTGGAAGTGGATCATCGAATGGCTCCAATTTGGTGGAGTTCCGGGCTGGTAGAATGAACTTTATTGGAAAAATGGTGCATCCCGATACACGCAAAGGTCTGGTGTATCTGACACAAAGTGAAGATGGTTTAATGCATTTCTGCTGGAAGGATCGCACCACTGGAAAGGTATGTTGAGATTTTGTCTTTATTAAATTAGCAAAGGAATAATAAATATTTGTGCTTAAATAGGTTGAAGATGATTTGATCGTGTTCCCTGACGATTTTGAATTCAAACGTGTCGAACAGTGCAAGACAGGTCGTGTCTATGTCTTGAAATTCAAGTCCAGCTCCCGTCGCATGTTCTTTTGGATGCAAGAACCCAAAACTGACAAGGATGAGGAACACTGCCGTCGTGTCAATGAATTGATGAACAATCCACCCTCAGCATCTCGAGGTGGTGGCCAAGATGGTGGTGATTTGCAGTATATGCTCAACAATATGTCGCAACAGCAATTGATGCAATTGTTTGGTGGTGTTGGACAAATGGGAGGTCTCAGCTCTTTATTGGGTTCCATGAAGTGGGTATTATATTGGCATCCAATTAGGAATGAATAATTTAATTAATTTTCTTTTATTCGTTCATCGGACAGCACTCGTACCCCATCCTCAAATCGCAATAGCAGTTCTAGTGCCGCTGGCCTTGTTACACCCGAAAACTCTTCGGCTCCCCGTACCCCATCTGCTCCAAAAGCCAAAGGCAGTAAGAGCAGCAGCTCTGGAACTGGCAACACCTCCACAGAGGGTGGGGCAGCCGCAACTGGTGGTAAGAAATCTTCAAATTCTGTAACACCCACCAATGCATTCCAATCCTTCTTATCAAATCTTTCACCCGAAGCTGGCGCTGGTCGTTCCCTTAACATTGATCTTTCCTCGGCTTTGGCTGGTTCCGAGGCCATCAATGAATTGATATCGGATCCGGAACGTGTCAACACATTGTCCGTTCACCTGCCCGAAACAGAAGATGCCGACGAAAATAAGAAACAGCAAATCAAGGAAACCATTGCCTCACCACAATTCCAACAAGCATTATCATTATTTTCCAATGCCCTGCAATCGGCCCAATTGGGTCCGGTTGTATCACAGTTTGAATTGACACCCGAAGCAGTGGCTGCAGCCTATTCTGGTAATTTGGAAGATTTTGTTAAAGCTTTGGAAAAGGCCTTACCCGCCGGCGCTACCATGTCATCGTCGCCCGTCAGTTCAAAGGGCAAGGATACGGCAGAGGTGAAGAAAGATGAGACCACAGATCAAGCTGCCGAGAAAAAAGAATAGTTTCCGAATTTGGCAGTCATAGTGCTTGAGTTTATTATTATTTTTTTATATGATTTAAGTTTTCACTTTGTAGGAGGGAAACAGCGTTTTCCTTCAATTTTTTCTTTTGCTTCAAAAACTTGTTGATATACATCTCTTTCTATAAAGACTGAGACAAAAAAATACACAATTATTATACATACGAAGCATACATGCGATTCAATTAACCATTTTCTCTTCAAAATGAAATACATATGTCCATTTAAATAAAACTCACTTGGTGTCATTTATTAAATTGGTTTAATGTTTTGATTGAAAATTCTGAAAGTAAAAAAATACGCCAAAGGTTAATTTTTCGAGTTGAGCGAAGAATATTCTTCTTCGGCTGTATTGTTAATCTAAAATGGGCCTAATGTTAACTACGTCACACTAAATACTTTTATTCATTTGCCTAAAAGGTTTATATTATGCACTGGAATTGAACTAAACTGACCAAAACTCCTTTGTTCTTTTACGAAAAGGCCATCCGATGACTAAATGTGAGCATACATAAAACGCTTTTTGAATGGCTTTAGTCATCGACTGGCTTCATCGTAGAGGGACAAAAGAGTTTTAGGTTGACTTAGTTCGATTATGTTCCCATATTTCCCCATCCATGTTCTCACCTTTTGTTCCCATATTTAAGATATCGAAAAATATTGCAAAAACAGTAAATTCTTGCATAGCATTACTAGGCTAATAAACCAGTTCCTTTTTTGCACCATATTTGGTAAAAGAATAATTGACATATACGACCTAATTCAAATGCGTCCATAACACTGATAATATAATATCAAGTGTAAACATAGCAAACTGACAACAAATCGATCAGGTGAAACCTAAATGCTCTCTCCCTCTCTCGGCAATTATACGGCCATTGGTCGAATTACGTATCCCTGGCTAGGCTGTGCAGTTTTTTTGGGTGAAAATAATTGTGATAATTTCATGGAAAAAAGCTCGTTTTCAAGCGATATTTAGCAGGATTTAACGTATCACATTGTTGAAGTATTAAATATTGTGCTTGAAATGTGTATAAGAACTAGAATTTTATAAACAAAAAGTAAGAAAAAATTACAGTTCATCGTTGAAGAAAACGGGTGCAAACGAAGAAAACGACCACGAAGACGGCAAAAATTGCAACTTTTTCGTCGTCGGGTAAAAGCAAGCGAAGGAAAAGGTGAGAGTGCTGGCAGCAAGAAAAATGGAAATTTTAATATATTTTATTATGAAAATAATTTGATATAATGTTATTGTCATTTACAGATATATTCGCCACAGCTTCTTTGGGAAATTGTAATAATTTCAGGGTAAAAGAAGACTAAAAAAAATCAATTTCACCCGTACCGTACCCGTTGGCATTCGTGTGTGCGTGCGTGTGAGTGTTCGTTTTAATGTGAGCAAATTCTCACCGAAGCAAACACACTATTGTTGTTGCTGTTTAAATTGTAAGAGAGCGAAAAGTTAAATTGGGAAAAGCAAGCAGGCAAGCAAGCCACAGAGACAAAAGAAACGAAAAAGTGACACGCAACAAACTTAAAAGAACAAAAAAGCCAAAACGAAATTAATAAAATCATCAGTAAATAAAAGACAGCAACAAAACAATATTGAAAAAATATCACAACGCGGTGTGGAAGAGTGTGGATTTTTCAACAAAAAATACATTGGGAAAACGGATTAAAATACAATAAAGAGGAAAACAAAAAGGTGCGTAGCATTACAAAATAATAAAAATGCATGCAAGTGTAAGCCACGAAGAAAGATAACCTTTAAAAAAAGGAAGATAGGGAAACACAAAGGATGCTCCAAAATGGGGCTTGCATTGATAGGCCAAGCCAACAAAAAAAAAATCATACAAAGACTGGCTTTGTATGAACACTAAGCCAGTTTTGTTTTTTGATTTCTCTTTAAATGTGGCACCTTTTTTTTTGTTAAGCCACGCCAATTGTCTGTATTTGTCCCCACCGAAAAAAACACACAACTCCCAAAAATGTCTTATGCATGTCATTGTGTTTTGAATTTTTAATTATTTTTATTTTGTTATTGTTTTTTATGTAATTAACAAATTAATGCCGCTGACTGCTGGCGTTTCTTATAGATTTCCATTTCTTTGGTTAGTGAAGAAAGAAAAAATAAAAGTTGGTGTTATTGTTGTTGCTGTTGTGGCTTATTGGCTTTAAGCCAATTTAAGTAACATTTGACTTTCATTATGTATCGACCAGCGACCAGCTAACCGAACGAGCGGCCGACCCTGTAAACCTGCTGCTGCTGCTACTGACAGAAACAAACATGCATTTGAAACATGGACTGTTGTCAGCGCATTTTCAATGTTGAAAGCACCACAAAATGTGTTTTTTTATGTTGTACATTATTGGCTTTGCTTGGCCGAGCCATGCGGCGGACATTCTCAGACAGCATCAGTAGTAGGATTTATGTAATTTTTTGAAAGGAAAAATCGGTGGTTTTATAGTTTTGTGGTTAAGTGTGGTTATATCCTACAAGTAGGTTTAGGGCGTTTAGTAAGGAATGATTAGTGACGCTTATTATTTCGATTTCATAACGCATTTTAAAATAATACAGTCAAGCACTTTTAGCTTTGTCCCTCCTGGAACCAACTCGTATATATTGCCTACAAGAAATTGTATAGAGTTGTATATAATAAGTGTTGTTCCGTCTTCTATAGCTTAAGAGTTAGCCGTCGTATATACACTCATTGTAGAATCGTATATATCTACGACTGACTATTTCCAAGCTATAGAAGACGGAACAGCACTCATTCAAGACGAGTGTATACGGGTCCTAGTAGACAAAGGATATGGCATTTCAATTGGGGTCCGAAGTGGATATTCAGGTGATCGGGTAAAACTCCTTGACAGAGTAAATAAGCAGACTTTTGTTGAACTAATCAACCTATAGACGTCCGGAGTTTTATGGACGATTGAAAGAGAAATCGTACGGAGTGACTGAGTTCAAAAGTCCTGGGTGGGTCTTATACCTCCTCTATATATACACATATCGTTCCAGGATGGATGAAGCCACCGGTGCTGGTGTTTTCAGCCCAAATCCAATCATTAAATGCTCATCTAAACTTAATGACAATTGTAGCGTTTTTGGACAAGAAGGCAGCCGGGAATGGTAAAATAACTTTGTCAGTGACAAAATTCAATAAGCTTTGTTGGGTCCCAGGACATGCAGGTTGAGATAAAAAAAAACTGCAACAAAGTCAAAGCCATAATTTTTACATTTTATTTTAACTTTTATTGAATGAAAGCAAAAAATGTCGGAAATAGCATCAAATTTTAGAATAAGTTTAGATTTGTTCGAGTTGGTCACATTTGGCCTTCAAACGGCCAATGAAACGGTCACACGCTGTCCAAATGTTGGTTTGCTTTACCCATTTCCGACGAAGCGCTTGCTTAAGGTGATCGACACTTTGGTATTTTTTAGTGCCAACCTTGATTTCCAAAATACTCCAGACACAATAGATCAACGGATTGGTATCCGGAGATTTTGGTATCCATTGTGTGCGGGAAATGAAGCGAGGAACCTCATTTTGTAACCATTCTTGGGTGGCGCGTGCTGTATGTGATGGTGCTGAGTCCTGTTGGAATGTCCAAGGTCTGCGGCCAAAATGTTTGTGTGCCCAAGGCTTTAATACACCCTCCAGAATATTTTCGCGATAATATTCGGCATTTATTCTGATGCCACGGTCACTTTGTTTGTTTATAAACTGCTGGACATCGAATGTTTTCTCTTCGGAGAAAACCAAGTGGTGCAGTTCACCATTTTCGGCCAAGCGAAGCAACGCTTAGCTCTTTTGAGTCTATTTTCTTTTTGTTGCGGTGTAAGTTCTTGAACTTTTTAGAATTTCAATGGCTTTACCCCGAGCTCACTTTTCAATATTTGCCGAATAGAGTATTGCGATATGTTCAGCTCATGAGCCATTTTTCGGTCACTGCGACACTGGTTTCGATCAAATCGCTTCTTTACTTTTCGAACCATTTCTGCTGATGTTGCTGTTTTCTTCCGTCCACTTCCTTGACGTCGGGCTACGCTACCACGGGCAATATCACGGTAACGATCGATGGTATGAGACACAAAAGATTTTGTCACGTTTAAATGCTGGAGTGCTCTAGCAGTAGCCATTTGTGGTTTTCCAGCCAAATATAAAGAAATCACACGATCACGTTTGAATTCCATCACGAACAACTTTTTTTCTGGGAAATTCTCACCAAAATGCTTTTGTACGCTTTTAAACAATATAATGAGCTGTCATTCGAATAATTTTAACCGTTGGTTGTGTGGCAACTGCTCTACCAGATATCAAACATCAAAATGGTCCTGAGTACTCAATGCTGTCTGGAGGGCGTGGAATGCCAAAAAGGTAGAGGTTAAACAGTTTCGCAGATATCATGGGGAACTCCCTGTTTCACTCAGCGGATATTCGACTTCATATTACTGAATTCAATTCTGGTTGAGTCCTCTGCTTACATATGTCGAATTTTGTACTAAGCTATCCGTGTAGATGATCAGCCATCAGAACTGATGCGTCTTTGCTACTGGTGACAAAAGTGATATCGACAAAAGTGTATCTTGATAATTTCACCACATTTTTCTATGAATTTGAAATTGATTCTGTAGTCATTAGGGTTAGTACGACGAAGCAGATCTCGCTTATTTTCTAGTCCGGCATCCTTTGCTGAAAAATTAGGTATTATTTCAGGTATTCGACCAGCAGGTTGGTATATAGCGAGCAGTTGCAGCTTTGATGAAGTCCCGGAAAAGTACCTACTACTGCTACCTGTAAATCAGATGGGTTGGGGATTTTTCTAAAGCCGCGATTGATATACTCTTTGAATTTTTGCCATGGTTAACGAAAGTTCGGCGTTCAGAGTCTATAAAGTAGGGTGGTCTTTTGATAGTGCTCTACGTAATGGAATATACCCCATATTCGGCATTCTATTGATATTTGTTTATACGGTCCATGCTTTTCTATATCCCCCAAATAGCGTTAGTTCTCGATATTCGGTATTGTTTACAATTTGTTATTTAGAATTTGAATTTGATTTTATCGAGAATACTCAAAATTCTCCTAACATGCCTTCTCACTTCTTTCACGCACTGTATGTGCGTTGTTCTTCCCAAAAGAAGACACAACCCATAGCAAGTATGCAATCACTAATCGCACACTATATGTACAGTATGATTTCATTATTAATTTATTGTTTTTTGTTTTCACTCACTCTCTTCAGGTTTTTTGTACATTGTGTGTTTGGTCACTCAACCCCCCTCCTCCCCCAAACATACAAAAAAAATTAACATTTAACGCAATTAAATATTGCTCAATTAATACTAAACGAAGAACATACTTCTCTGACTTTTGTGTGTTTTTGTTAATCATCAATTTCTTCCTCTTTTTATTTACAGTATTCCTTGCCACTGTCATCATGGATATGCCACCAGGACGTTCCATTTACAGTCCCGATGAGGAGTTGAAACAATTACGACCACCCAAAACATATCGACCACCAGCTGATGCCCAACAACAACAGCAGCAGCAGCAGCAACAGCAACAACACCAGCAAGGAAAGCCAACAACTGCCGCTGATCTTCTTCTTCAACAAGGGAAATTGTCGATTAATGCAATGGAATTTGTGCCACGTTATCCCGTACAAATACCACACAATAATGTGCAGGATCGTTTGACCCGCATCCAGCAACAGTATATACAAGAAAACTATCCTCAGCAACAGCAGCAGCAGCAACAACAACAGCAGGCGCAACAGTATAACCAACAACCATCCTATGCCAATGGCTATGGAGGCGGTTATCAACAACAACAACAATCATTGAATCAACAATTCGGTTCCATGAGTGTTCAGGATCGTTTACATCGTTCCAATAACAGCGCGAGCGGTTCGAATGCGTCGAACAACAGCAACAACAGCACTTTCTATCCCCAGCAACGCGAATATCAACCAAATCAGTCGTATCATCGCAACAACAAATACCATCACCACAACCACAATAATCACCATCATCACAACAATCAGCAGTCGCGTTACAACAATCATCACTACAATCAACAGAATCATCAGCAGTACCACAACAATCATCATAATCATCATCATCAACCACGGAACCAGCCCTATTCACAGCAGCAGCAGCAGCAAGCGCAATACTCAAATCAGGCAGCTGGTGCAGGAGCGGGAGCGGCCGCAGCCGCTGCTGCTGATGCCGCACCCGATATGCAAAACATTGCTTTGGACTATTTACAAACTGTGATCCAATGTCTCAATCAAAATCCCGGCCAGTTTGATACCATTGCCCCCCGATTCATTAACATCTTCGATGGCATGGAGAGCAATCATTATGTCCTGTCCATTGCCATGGAGGATATATTCGAAGAATCCATTAAGAATCCCAATTTCCGTTATATGGGCGCCAAACTGTATAACCTGTTGCACATGTTTAATCCCTCCAAGGATTCATTGTTCCACACCTTGCTCAAATGCAAATTGGACTTCCATCAGGATGAGATCAAAAACTATATGCAGAGTAATCAACAGGGCAAGGTGAGAGAGACGGCCCTCTTCCTGGCTGAACTCTATATGCAGCTGAGGGGCGATGATACACGCCTTTATTTGATTGCCGAGAACATTGTGTATTCGTTGAAACAGTTGTTGGAACATGTGGTGGCCGAGAATGTACGTTGCATTTGCTTAACCCTTAAATTGGCCGGTTACGATTTGAGTACAGACTGTCCCGAGGAAATGAAGGAGATCATTGCCAGCCTAGAACGCATTAATGCCGAAAATCCGGGTAAATATCCGTTGGCCAGTAATGTTATATCACTGCAAAAGAACAATTGGGGTCGCAAGGCACCCGGCAGTGAGGGTTTGGGTGAGGGTGAGTCTTCCAAGCCAGCAGAGCCACCACGTCAAAGTGATGATCCGGTGTTCTATGGTCCCGATGGTCGTGAAATCACTGCCGAAGAATGTGAATTCTTGACGAATGGGGCCTCGGGCGCCAATGGTGGTTCCACCGATAATGATGATGATAATGATTTGGATGATTTGGATCCGGAAATGGATGAGGAGACTGAAAGGGATTATAAACTGTTTCTTAAGCAGGCCAATAATTCATAGGTTAACTAAAAGACTATGAATTAGTATGGATGGCAGAGAAGATGATGATGAAGATAATATACGATGATTATTAACTAAACCTCCCAATATAAACTACAACAAAAAGGAACACGACGAAGAAGAAGAAGAAGATGACGACGATGATGATGATGAAAGTGAAAGTGAACGACAACAAAAAACCAAGTATCTGCTAAAAAAAATGGCCAATAGACTGCCTGCTTTTTGTGGCAATGCAAAAAGAGTAAAAAATACTATTTAAGGTTATGAAGGTTATTCAAAGCATATCTCTTCCCCCTGCCCGCCCGCCCGCAAGCCAACCAGCCAGCTTCCTTGTTACCATATAATTTCCTTTTTTTTCAATTCCCCTATATCCTATTCCGCTGAAATTACAGTTTGCCCCCCGGCCAACACCACTTTAAGTAGTTGGCGAAAAAAAAAACTTTAAAAAATTAAAATCAGAAAAAAATTTAAAAAATTATTTAAGAGAAAACTTAACCCCCATTGAAAACAAAAAAAATGTGATGTTATAATCTGCAAACAGACAAAAAAAAGAAACGAAAACATTTTAAATTTAATGTGATATTATGCTACTCTTAATCTCTCTCTCTTTCTCGCACTGTCTCCCTATACTTCTAACTATTTGTTGTTAACTCGGGCTTTATCTTTTTTTTTTTTTGCATAATTTAAGGAAATTTACAACCAATTTTTAGGGACTTGTAAAAGAATTTGAGATCCTCAAAGAAGGAGGGATAAACCAAGCTCTTCGGATTGGAAATCGTTGTTAAAAAATACCTCTAAACTTTGAGATTATGTGTCTCCAAATGATCCCCTTTCCATAGGGGGTAACCCTAGTTTTTCCAATTGGAATTCACTGCAAAAAATTTTTTTGAAGATTAAATGAATGGGGCAAGACCTTCGAACCCCAAGACCTCGAAATTAAGTGCCTCAAAAGAGACCCTTTCTATCCATATATTTTCATAATTGTTAAGTGCCAATGCTTCTCTCTCTCTCTCCCTTTTTAAGGATTCCACAAAAACAATTGAGCCTTACAATCATTACCAAAAGCCCCATCTTCTTTAGCCTTTCAATTGGAATTCGTTTCTAAAAATATGCAACTCCCTCCAATACTTCGAGATTAAATGTCTCCAAATGCCCTCTCCCCCCATCCGATAAGGGGATAACCCAAGTTCTTCCATTTGGAATTCATTGCTCAACAATTTTTTCAAGACTAAATGAATGGGGCAAGACCTTCGAACCCCAAGACCTCGAAATTAAGTGCCTCAAAATAGACCCCTTTTATCTATCATTTCATCATTGTTAAGTGCCAATGTCTCTCTCTCTCTCGCCCTTTTTAAGGATTCCACAAGGATTATTGAGCCCATCTTCTTAAGCCTTTCAATTTAAATCCTTTTCCTGAGGAGATCAACTCTCAGTAGAAGACCACTGGAAGGCTTCCTTTGAAATGTTTTTGAGGTCTAGAGACTAAATAAAAAAAGTTTGTTTATCCACAGAAAAAAAAAAACACTTTATTCTCTTTTCTGTTCTTTGGACGTCTGCAATGCATAGAAATGAAAAGTCAAATTATGTTCTAAAATATAAGGGAGCCCTTAAAGTTCTTATTTCCCAAGATTTTCTCATTGGACTATCGAAAATCTAAAAGAATCCCTGTGTGGAAAATCTCTATAAAATACGTTTTGCGAGGAAATTTTGTAGAAGAAGGGAGGCTTTTTTTAAATATCCCTTAAAAGGGATGTTCCTTTGAAAGTCTACTCTCTATTGTACGGCTCGTGAAGATCTGAAAGAAAATATCCTTTAAAAGTCGTCCATTAAGAAAAATACCTCCAAAAGACTTCCTATTTAGAGAACACCTTTAGGAGATTATCACTTCATAAAACACCATTTAACAACTCTGGAAATTCCTTCAGGGTGTTTTGGAACACCTGATTGATGATGTCAATCGAAATATCTTTTCCATTGAAGAGAAAGGCCCTTGCAGAGGATTCTCCTTCTTAAAAAAATCACTTGAAACTCAAAAACGAAATATTTTTTCCATTAAAGAGACAGGCTCCTGGCCGATTATTTCCCCTTTCAAAGAAGACCGCCTGGAGCAATTCTTTTTGAGAACTTAAAAAGGAGTTAAGAAGAAATATTTTTCCCATTGACTATTCCTATATAGCCCTCAAAATTTACAAAAAAAAATGACAATTTTCCTTCAATAGAAGACCGCTTGGAGCTATTCTTTTTGAGAACCTAAAAAGGAGTCAAGAACAAATATCTTTTCCATTGAGCTGAGGATTCTCATTCTATAAAAATCCCTTGAAACCCAAACACAAAATATTTTTTCCATTAAAGAGAAAGGCTCCTGATCGATTATTTCCCTTCCAAAGAAGACCGCTTAACTTAAAAAGGAGTTATGAAGAAAAATATTTTCCATTGAAGTTCACCAACTCCTCAAAATTCTCCAAAAAAAAATTGGTTGTAAATTTGTTATTACAATTTATCTCCCCACCACATAGCCGACTTCTGGCGGCCCCCTGTTAATAAAGCATTTCTAAGACTCTTCTCCCGCCCCAAAATTGTATTGTATTTGAATGATGAAATCCACGAAAAAAAGAAAGAAAGAAAATCGTTGTTTTTGTTTATTAAGGGAGTTTGATTTTTATATTTATTTTTATTCTTTTGTAAAAATAAAAAAAAAAAACATAAGCTTTTATTCTAAATATATATTTAAAAACAAAAAATTACAACAATTTCGTATGCTGTGCATGCCTAACAAACAAACATAATTTCAAACACTCTTTATTTTCCAAAAAAAATGTTTATTTTAATGATTTCTTTTTCTTCTAATTAACAATATTAAATTATAAAATATATATTTTTTATTAAATAAATATCTCATAATTATAGTGTGCGTGTGTATGTTTCTCTTTTTTTACAAAAAAAAAAAAAATATATTATCCGATAACAACCAACATCAACATAAAATCAAGAAAACAAAATAATAACAACAAAAGAAGAGTTCCTCTAACAAAACACTGAAAATTTTAAAATTAAGCTAAAAAGAAAACAATAAACGCATAGACTTAAATTGTAATGTCATCTAAATTTCCATTATGCATGAACGACAACAACAAGTTATACATAATTATTTTGTTTTTTTTTTTTTTATACATATATTTATTGACATTTCTATTATGTTCTTGTTTCATTTTTTTATTTCCATATACATATGTACACACATTTAGTCGTTATATATATATTTTTTTTTAATTTTGCAAACAACTGCTTTCAAATAATTTCCATAATGTTCTCCATTTTTTTATGAATTATTTATATATGTTTTTAACTACGCGACTTATTTTTTTATAAGAAACAAAAAAAGAAAAACGATGTGAAATAATCAACAACAACAAACTGTAATTTCAGCTTATTTAGTTTTTAATGTTAAAAAAAAATCGAGAAAAACACAAGAAAAACTTAATTCAGCTAAAATTATGTATTTATGCAAGAGTTGAAAAGAACAAAAAAAAAAAAAAAAACAACAAAATACACAATGTCTTTTTATTTATCAAAAAACACTTACTTGACAGCTAACTTTTGTTTATCTCCCTCCTCTCCCCCTAAGGCTGTAAAAATAATGATTTGTAATTAAAATCATAGAGATATTATATTTTTTTTTTGTATCCGTATTAACAAAAAAATATATTTATGTATAAATGTTTGTAAACATTGTTGTAGAGTATGTTTTGTATTCAAGAAGTCACAAAAAATCACGAGGACCTTTTGAAAGCCTTTAGAAGACCTTTTGAAGGTCTTTAGAAGACCTTTTGAAGGACCTGTGAAGGTCTTTAAAAGACCTTTTGAAGGTCTTTAAAAGACCTTTTGAAGGTCTTTAGACGACCTTTGAAGTTTTTCTATAGTTAAAAGGACTTCTATAGATGAAAGATCTTTCGAATGTCCCCTATAGATGGAAGACGTTTCAAAGGTCTTCTATAAACAGAACCACTGCTGAAGGTCATCTAACGACAATACTTTTAAAATATCTTCTATAGTCTGAGGACTTTTGAAGGTCTATAAATATAATACTTTTAAATGTCTTCTATAGATAGAACACCTTTTGGGGGTCTTCTATAGATCGAATACCTTCTGAGGATCTTCTATAGATCGAATACCTTCTGAGGATCTTCTATAAATGAAAGACATTTCAAAGGTCTTCTATGAACAAAACAAGTGTTCAAGGTCTTCTATAGGCAGAATACTTTTCAAAAATCTTCTATAGTCTGAGGACTTTTGAAGGTCTATGAATAGTAGGCCTTTGAAGGTATTTTATGGATCGAAGTCCTTTTGAGGGCCTTCTATAAATCGAAGACCTTTTCAGGGTCTTCTATAGAAACAACACCTTTTGAAGATCTCCTATAGATAGAAGACCATTTGAAGGTCTTCTATGAACAGAACAACTGTTGAAGGTCATCTATAGACAGAATACTTTTCAAATATCTTCTATAGTCTGAGGACTTTTGAAGGTCTATAAATAGAAGACTTTTGAGGGGATAGATGGTAAACATATCTTCTATAAATGGAAGGCATTTCAAAGGTCTTCTATGAACAGAACAACTGCTCAAGGTCTTCTATAGGCAGAATACTTTTCAAATATAGTCTGAGGAACTTAGAAGGTCGTAGGGCTTTGAATGTATTTTATAGATCGAAGACCTTTTGAGTGTCTACTATAGGTCAAAGACCTTTTGAGGGTCTTTTATAGACTTTTTCAGGATCTTCTATAGAGAGAAAGCCTTTTGAAGGTCTTCTGCGAACAGAACAACTGATGAAGGTCATCTAAAGACAATACTTTTTAAATATTTTCTATAGTCTGACGCATTTTTGAAACTCTTCTAGAGAGAAGAGCTTGGAATAGTCATCGGACAGATGATATTTTAAGGGCTTTCATAAACAGAAGACTGCTTAAAGAACTACTGTAGGCAGAAGACCTTAAGGTTTAGGTTTTTTAAAGACTGAGTGTTTGAACGTCTTCTGTAGACAGTAGATCTTTTATAATCAAAAGACCTTCTGAATGTCTTCTATAAACAGAAGTCCTTTCGAAAACCCTTCAAAGGTCTTCTATAGACACTTTGAAGATCTTGTATAGATAGAGACCTTTTGAAAGTCATCTGATAGAATACCTTTTGATGGTCTCCTATAGACAGGGGACATTTTGAAGATCTTCTGTGAACAGAACAACTGTTGAAGGTCATCTAAAGACAATACTTTTCAAATATCTTCTATAGTTTGAAGAACTTTTTAAGTTCTTCCATAGATGGTTTGGTAAAGACTGAGGAGTGTCTGAAAGTGGAAGGAGTGTCTTCTATAAGCACTAGATTTTTTAAAGATCTTTTGTTATCTCAAAAGACCTACTGAATGTCTTCTATAAACAGAAGTTCCTTCGAGGACCTTAAAAAGGTCTTCTATAGACAGAAGATCTCTTGGAGCTCTTCCATAATCAAAAGACCGTCTGAATGTCTTCTATAAACATGTGTTCCTTCAATTATCTTCTATAGACAGTGGGCCTTTAAAAGTGTTTTCTATAGGTCTTCCCTTGAAGGTCTTCTGAAAACAAAAAAGTAAAAAATCTCTAAATTCGACGGACCGAACTTTGAATACCCTCCACCATTTGGGACTAATTTGGCAATTTTCAAAAAAATAAAATCCGTTAAAAATTCTGTTAAAATCTTAAAAATACCGAATGTAGCCGTTACATTAGGGTCTATACGGCGATAGGGAGGTGCCGATATATGGGGGCCATACGAAGGCGTGGACAAGCACGGATAATTTTCTGTCATAGGCTGTAGCATCCATTACGAACTTCAAATACCACATTTGAAACATTTCCGGTGAATAATGCCGCTTTATTACCAAAATACCGAAAATAGGCAGGTACCATTATATAGGGACTATATCAAAACGTGGACCTACATCTCCCATTTTCAATACCAAAAGATCTGCAGACATAATATACATTTGAGTAAAATTTTATCAACCTACTTCATTTCGTTCGGAAGCTAGAGTGACTCCACAGACGGACGGACATCGCTAATTCGTCATAGAATTTTATTCTGATCCAGAATATATATACTGTTTGGGGTCTAAAATGTATATTTCGAGGTGTTACAAACGGAAGGACAAACTCAATGTACCCTCCATACTATGCTCACAGAAGACTATTTGATGTTTTCGCATGAAGATCCCACGAAGATCTACCAAAAGAAGGCCCAACAAAGTCTGCTCCCAACAAAAGTTTCTGTCAATAAAATAACTTTTAGAGATCTTGCAAAAAAAGAATTCATTCAAAGTTCCTCTGCCGGTATATGGACATGTCGAAGGTCCTCTATTAATAAAAGACCCTTAGAAGTTCTTCTTTTAATATTCGAAGTCTTGTCCACCCAAGAACGTCAAAATGTCTTACATCTTAAGAATAGTATCTTATGAAGGAACGCCTACCTTCATAAGATACTATTCATAAGGTATAAGACATTTCGAGGACATTTAAAAGAAGAACTTTGAAGACTACTGTTCCCTTGAAACTGAATCTTTCAAAGGGGATTTAGCGAAGAGACCCCCTTTTTTGAAGTAATTCTGAAAGCAAAAAAAGTTATTTAAATTACAAAAGCTCTTTTTTAAGAAGGGCCTCTCTCACAAGGAATTTCTATCAATTAGATACCCTTTAGAGGTCTTGCAGAGAAAAAATCCACTGAAAGTTCCTCTGCCGGTACATGAACTTGTCAAAGGGCCTCTATTAATGAAATATGCTTAGAAGTTATTTTAAAAAGCGAAGTTGCTTTCGTCACGATGACTCTTAAAACATTGGTCTGTTCCAGTACCTGCAATGATCCACTAGTTTTGCTATTTTTTTCGATTTCATAAAAGGAAAATCGGTTATCTTTGTAAAAAAGTATCATATTCTTGCAGTTCTGGAACAGAGCATATCTTTCACCTTAGGAATAGTATCTTAAAAAAGGGTAGGTGTTCAGTAAAAGACCCTCAGAAGTTCCATTGCTCTATGGAAGTCCTCATCATTACCACTCAACACAAATGTAACCAGGAGGGGTAGGGGTGGTAGGTGGTACCAATTCGCCTCCCCTCCCTCTGCCGTACACAACGACTCTTGCATTTATTTTGTTTATGTTTTTAAATATGCTTAATAAATCTTCCTGCTCCTTCCAGGAGATGGAAATCCTTAAAGGGAATGAGAAACTAGGAAACTAAAAACGAGAATTTGTAGCGATCGTCACATGTGTATTTTTGTAAAATACCACAATAGTTGCAGTGTTTTTTTTTGTCCAGTGAGTGTTTGTCTGTGTGTGTGAAATGTTTGTATGAAAAAAAGAACAAGTTAATAAAATATTGGAAATAAAAACATATAAATATTGTAGTATATAAGATTATGATGTTAAATTTAAGATTCAAGCTTAATAAATAAATAAAAAAGAACGAAAACACAATGAACGTAAAAAAATGTTAAATGGAGGTGTTTTCTTTTTTAATAGGTGGCCCCTGAACTCTTCTAGATTTTACAGCTTCTTCAAACCATAGTTCACAGCCGCTACCACCATCACGAAACCATGGTGAACTCTTCTAGATTTTACAGCTTCTTCAAACCATAGTTCACAGCCGCTACCACCATCACGAAGCCAAGAGAATGAACCCCCAGAGCATGAAGTGAATTATCTTCTGCCAATCATCAGGTGCAAGGTCTTGGGAGGAATATAGACCAGAAAACATAAGCATTGTTCATAGCTCTTAGATTATCTCATTTTTACTTTCTCTGCAACTTTAAGACATTTGTGTCCAATGACCAAAGGAAGCTGTGGTCTCAATGAAAATGCCATTGATCAAAACTAAAAGCTACTCTGTATGCCTTTCATATTTTTAATTTCTGCAAATCTGAATTTAAATTAAATGATTTAGAAGACAAAAAATTCAATTATTTGGATATCCTACCATTTATGTCCTGTTTCTGCACGTTATTTGTATTCAAAGGAAGTGAGTACCATCCCACTGAACCAAGAATTTGTAACTTTTTAACAAAAATGTTAAAAAATGCGCTAACATTTCGCGTCGGTAATGCAGTCCCCATTGAGTGTGAAACAAAACCCACCATCTGTATTTAACAGCCATGCAACATAGCCAACAGACAGGGATACATAGATCGAAAGTTCACTTTTTGTGATAGTTGAAGAAAGTCAAACCCAGAAGGTTTAATTAAATATATTTATAACCTCCGCCATGCTATGGAGCATGCATTTCAATATTTATACCCTATACCACAAGTTGGTCAGGATATTATGTCTTTGTGTATTTATTTGTAACAGGCAGAAGGAAAAGAGATAGGCCCATAGCTCCTTTTGATGAACTGCATTAAATCACATTCTGTGTCGATGTATGCATGTCTGTCCGTCCGCTGTCTGTCCATGTATTTTTTAAACAAAGTATAGGTCGCATTTATTTTTCGATCCAGATGAAACTGTGCACAAGTCATTTGCTTGACCCAAGAAG